CTAATCACACACATATACAAAATATATTTTAAACAAGAGACATTTCAAATGATAATTTATTTATTTTAAATAAAGTAAATTTTATGTTGAATAAAGCAATAAAATAATTTGGTGTAAAACTTTTAATTGAGTATTTGATTGTAACATTGACTATCAATTTTAATTATCTAATTTATATTTAAAATATATAATTAACATCAATTTAATTACTATAATGCTTTTCAACATCATGCAATAAGAATTTAATTTCATTGTTGGTATTTCCAAAAAAAACTTATTATGTTATTTGTTACAATGAGTTTTTCATAAGCATAAAAAATAAGGATTAAAACAGTTTTCTTTTGCCATATTTGGAAGAAAATGGTCTTAGTTTGCAAAAAAATATACTTGACTCTGATTTGAAAATTAAATCTATGGTAGCAGATAATTTGAAGTTACTAGGTATGTATGTGTAAATGTTGAATCATGTTGAAATATTTTAAATGATACATTACTTTGAAAAGCAGAAATAATATCTAGAACAACTATCCATAGTTTCTTTTCTTCTGATACTTTGGCTTTGTGACATTGTGAATTTGAAAAGAATAAATTGATAAAAGATAAATTAAAAAATATATAATACCATCATGGTATTATTTCTTTCTATGTTGCAAAGGTGGATTTATTAGAATTTAGTTTATAAAAAAATTCAAAAATTAAATTTATTTTCAAAATTAAAAATTAATATGCCTGTAATAATAAAATAAAAAATAAAACTAGAAAATACAAAGAATGAAACTAAGGTTGTTTATCCTGTTAAACAAAACCTGATTTTGTCTCGGTCTGAATAAATTTCCCAAAAAAGTCGATTGGATGTTTTTCAACCCATTTGAATATATGTAACAGAAAAAGTTCCATGGTTTTTTGTTTTTGGTTTTTCTAAATTGAAAAGAATCAATAGTAATGAAATGTTGTAACAGCTAGCAAATAAAATATGACATGGGTCCTTAAGGCGCTTTAGATGTGGGTTGAATTAGTATGTGCTGTCTCCAAACTAAACTATATCATTATCATGTTAATTATTTTTCTCCATGATTTTAAAACATTATGATACATTAAAAATATGGAATCTCGAATGGAGTATTCATCAAATACTGTTAGAATCAGTATTCTTGACTAAATGTATATTTTTATTTTTAACTATTTCAGAGATATTAAATGAATAAACATTTGTATTCTGACAGCCGTATATCATAAGTCACCATGGCATAAAACGTAAACATTCATAAAACATATAATGTTTTTATAATACTTGTGTACAATAATCATTCCCTGAGCATTTTATTAGTGAATGACATCATTCTCTAAATACACCAATAATTGCCAAAAGGTGTTTGGTATGAATTTTATAATGTCTGGGCGGAATAAAATATTTTTTTGTTGCAAGAAATTCAACAACATTAAATCAATGATCAATGCAAGATCATAATAACAAAGAATCAAGACCAAATTAAAGTTATTTTTTTAAAATAGGAATTCATTTCTCTGACAAGCACATTACTGTGAATAAACATAATGATCCATTTTACCGTTTGAATTGGTTCTGTGGTTTTATTTTATTCTAGGTATTTTTTTTTTGATTAATTCATATTTAGTATGAAATACTGTCAAATGCGAAGTTAATCTATAATAATAATAATAATAAATTATGTAACGAAACCTTTGGAATACATCAACCTTGATTGATTTTGTTTTGTAGTAATTGAGTTTTTTTGACAGAATGACAACAAATTTGGATATCTTTAGTAATGGACCAAAAGTGTCTTATATATTTTTTTAAAAATCATCTGACACATAATTTTTGACAACTATGAATGCAACGTGTCTTCATTTCTTTATCTGTTAACAGCATAAAATTACTATCAAATCAATAAATAAATAAGTAAATATACATATATATATATATATATGACATGCAGTTATGTAGGTTTAGCTCAGTACTATTGGAAATATTGCAAATGTAAGCAATTTTAGTTTGAAATTTAAGGGTAAATTGATTTTCATTCTTTATATTATTAGACCAAAAAAAAATCTTATACATGATTTCATAGAATATTATTTTTTTCCCCAACTCTTAATTGAATCAATTATGAAGAAATGTTTCTATTGTTAGTTTTTGAAGTGCACATATATTTTGGTGTCGCTTGTGATCATATATATAAACAAAAACTTACACATTCTTATGTTCATGCTCAAATTGGAGGTACCAAAATATCCATGCTTATATATATATATATATATATATATATATATAAGTTATGACAATCATTTACATCTAACACTTTTTATTTGAATGCACAAGTTTAGGTAAACAACAAAGCCAAATTTATAAAGATTCATGTTTATATAGACATTGTTCATAATCCAAGCCTATGTATGACAATGTGTGTGTTTGTCTATAAATATATATATATATATATATATAAATGATCATAGAGGGTATTAAAAAATTCATGAGGGGATACCAAAATATCTTTACCATTTTGAAACCTACATTCCATGGTCCATTCTAAAGTGTACATTCCTTGGTTTATTCTAAAGTGTTGCAAAAGTTGTATTTCTTATGTACCAATAGAATAATTATTTTAATATTTTAAAAAATAACTTTTAATTGTCTCTTGAATTGTATCCCATTCCTTTCTTCACTTTTTACCAACAACTACAATTCAAGCTGGCCATTCAACTTTAAAAAGTATTTATAAATTATACTATAGTATCCTTGTTATATATATATATATATATATATATTTACAAGTATTTTGTACAAACTAATAATTAAAACTTTATTTATTTGAATGTAGTTAATTAAAACATAGAATAAATACATAGGAAGAATCATTATTTATTCTTCAATGTAAAAAGTATAAAAGATCACCCTTATTTAATCAAATTTAGTACTTTGGTCACCAAAACTAGTGTTAGTGTTTCTCCATTTTATTCTTGGTTTTTTGGTTATAGCTATTATTCTCAATATTAATAACAATTACATTTGATCTATGCTGAATTAAATGTTTTATCTTATAATTAAAAAAAATAACATGACAACTATAGAAAATAATCAAACTGTGTGAAGCACCTCTTACTAATTTACAAAAAAAAGAAAAAAAAAGAAGAAAAAAACCATGTCACCAACTTAAATACTATATATATATACTATGCACACTCCATTTTTTTAAAAAATCAAACCAATCTTTAGTACACACATCTTCTAATCAAATTTAAAAAGTGCAATCATCTTTATGATCCTCACAACAAATATGTCCGATAGCACACCCTCTAATATCTATAGCTAATTTTTTTTAAGATTAAAAAATCAGCACAGAAAAAATAATGCAATATTTTAGATTAGGCATATCTCATTTTATTTTATTTAATTTGCCATAAAAAAATTGTTAATATGTTTTTATAACCATGTTTTCAATATATATCCAAAATATAACATTGAAAGAAATCAAGTGAAGCATAAGTATAAATAATCATTATTAAATTTTCACTTCTATTTGTTTTATATACATTTGCAAGCAAAAATACGAAAATACTTACATGTAAAATGGCATATGCTTAGTGATGGATTTAATATATTATTTTTATATTATTTGATAATATTATTATGATTATATATATATATATATATATATATATATATCAACTGTTTAAAGAAATTCCTATATATTATTTTAAGCCAAAAATAGTTAATAGAAATTAATAGCTTACAATATAATTTAATAGTGTTTTTAAATAATCTCGAAATAAACAACAAAAATATATTTTTTTAAGAATGTTGGCCTATTTTTTACAATCATTTATTATGTTATAGTTATTATAATGCATAGTATTATGAAATATAAAATTTAAAGTCTTATCTATTCATGCATTTATGCTTAGTAATTTTAAGAAAAAAGTAATATACTTTATAAATAATCATAATTACATTATATTATATTGTATTAATCATTATAAAATATTTTAAAAGAAAGCTCAGAAAGAAATTAAAAAAAACTATGATGTGATTCAACCTCTAAACCAAGTAATTATTTTATGAACATCATATTAAAAAAATAATAATAATTAATTTATAAATATATTATTAAATAAATATTGTGCATTTATGAATTACTTATAGATTCTACTGAGTTAAACTTGTTAAATATAACTAAAACATAGAGTAGATAACAGTCCAATTTATAATAATAATATTCATAAACTTAAATTAGAATTAAAATTATACAATTTTTTTTATTTACGAAGGAGAAGATCAAATTATACTCTAAATATATAAGCATATTATATAAAGAGAATTCTTAATGCTACATCCCTAATTGATATCACTACATCCCACATGACCTCCACATGACTTAAATTGACTAAAAAGCACACTTCTAAACTTAGAGTGCATTTGGAAACCCAATATTTAATCCCAATATTGATTGAAAAATAAAAGACATTAAGAATTAAGTTGTTTTGGCAACGAAATATTTTTTTTTCTTAAAAAAAAATAATTTTTTTTTTTGAGGAAATAATTTTCTTTTTTAAGGAATGGCTTGCAATATTTTTTTTTTTTGTCTCTCTCTCAATCACTACTCTTTTCGTAAAGCAAAAAGGAAAGAAAATTGCAAAAAAAGAAGAAAAGAGAGACATATTATTAGCTAGTTGTCTACAAGGAGGTCATGTGGAGTGCAACAATATCAATCGGGAAAGAAACATTGACAATTCTCCACATGTGAATATATATATATATATATATATATATATATTCAAAATACATACCATAAAAATTCACAAATTCAAACCAACTGTAACGAAATAATGGGACGCAAGTTCCCTCAACGAACGGGAGCCGAATAACGGACGAGAACAAGCAACGGAACGAGAAAGTTGCCACGTTGCACGAAAGAGCCACGTCACCACTGCCACGCGGAAAGACCCCTCAAATGCCAAGTGGAAGAGGAGGCCTCGCCACACCGCACCGCACCGCGTCGCTCTCTCTCTCTCTGATCTCTCTGTGTCTCTTGCTCGCTGTCTTCGGCCAATATCCCTCATTTCCTCTATCGCCACCGTCTTCAAATTTCACTTCTGGAGGTTGTGAACCCAACCAACCGAAGCAGAAATCACACATATTGTTTTCAAGGATACACCATTCGCACTTGGGTTGTATCGGAGTTTTGTGGGTTGCGAGGTTTCGTTGTCGGAGTTGTGAAGTAGAATTGGAGAGATTCGTGGGGTTGTTGAGCGAGAGAGAGAGAGAGAGAGAGAGAGAGCAGAATGGTGGTGTTTAAGATGGACGTTTTGGCCGTCGGGCAGGTTGTTGGCACGGTGAGAGTCGGTGTGGAGAGTGCGTGTGGGAGGCGAGAAGCAGTGGCCGTTTGTTCGAATGGGAAGAAGCCGCAGGGGCGTGTGATCGTGAGCGCGGAACGGCTGAAGAAGTGGCCGTCTGTGCGTGTGGGCGCGCCGTCGTCGCTTGGAAGCCTTGGAGTGAGGTGCAGCGCCACCTCTGGGGGCGATGACGAGCCCAAGAAGGTGCGTGTTCGCTTTGGGTCATGTGTACCTTGAGGTTTTCAAAAGACGCATGATGTTTCTTATCAATACTATTGTTGTTGTTGTTATTCTTTGAGGTCGTCCGGTGTTGGTGCGTTGATGACATTGTTGAGTCATACGAGGCTGGACATTGCAGACAGCGATGCGTTTGTAGGGTATAGAATAGTCTATCCTTTCTCTCCTCGAAGGAAAGAAATGAGTAACGTAAGCCGATTGTGGAATGCAGAGTTATGACCTTAACGAAGTGATCGAAAGAGTAACACACGAAGAGGAGAACCAACTACCGGAAGAGGAAAAGGACACGCCAGAACCGTTACCTGAGGGTGAACCCAGCCCATTCTCTCCAGCAATCGACACAGACGACACAGACGATCAAGCATTTCAAGGAGAAGGGGTTTCGAAGGACAGTTTGGTGATGCCACCGAGAGCTGATGCGACGCACGAGGGTGCAGCTTCTTCATCAATTGGAGAAGGCCTTGGAGTGAATGATATATCAGCAATTCCATCGACTCCAGTAGGCGGCAATGCAAAGAGCCGGGATTGGAGAGTTTACATGTCAAACGGCGGAGAACCTGACATGGATTTGAGTCCAAGTTTGGAAAAAGCAAGCGACATTGGGACACACTCAGAGCACCAGAAAGAGATGTTTGGATCCAGTGAAGCGACTTGCGATGAAGAGAGCTCGTTCATGGCAGAAGAAGGTATCTTGGAACAGGATGGAGGCAATTCAGTGGACGATTACAAGCTTCGGGCTCACATTTTTGAGGAAAGCGCCGTTTTCTTCTCTGCTTTGAAGGATCGAGGTACACATAGTTACTGTAATGCGGCAAATTCCTTTACTACTTCCGACTTAGTTGATTAGGCAAAGTTTTAGGGTTTTATTTTTGTTTTTTGTGTTTTTCTTTTTTTTCTTCTCTGCCATTACGCGTAGAAAGCACGTGGTCTGAGATTAGGGTTTCCTTGTACAGCTAAAATGAAGTTGATACTTAGTCTTTGCAGTGAACACTCACTCTTCTTTCAAGAAACTTCACGTTATTTTATTTTATTTTTCTGAGTCTTATTCGCATCTTATTGTTTCCCTCCTCCTAATTGTTGTTAATTTTGCCTTCCGTTGAAATTATTCCCAAGCTGATATTCTTGAGCCCAAGGAAATGTTAATGTTAATGTGATTGGACAACTAGAATTCAATAAATTTATATTTGGGGAATGCAACCTCGTGAAAATAGAGAACTTGATATTTATATTTTGAAATGTGGCCAGTGCCAAAGCTGCAATATAGATAAAAGGTAACTTGTAATGAATAAGTTTTTTATTTTATTTTATTTTATTTTTTACGTTTTTTTGTGTACTTTTCTTTTAAAGTTATTAATTGGCATTTACTTAATCCAACCTAGCAACTAAAAAGAACTAGAAGATGGGAAACATAGCATTAGTTTAATTTGTTATTAAGTAGTAATTGTATTTGTTAAGAAATATTGAGCACAAAGTTGTAGAAGTGGATATTTTAACATAGATGACAAAGATTAAATCTCAAGATTTTGATTAAAATAAAGTTGTTTTGTAATTGCAAGATATAAGTGTAAACTTACATTTAACATTCAATCAATTTATTTGTTACACTTTTTCCATTGTCTACACAAAAAAATTAGATTTTAGTTTTGCTTACACCACATAAGATATGAGATGGTCAATGCAAAAGAATTTTAAATTACCACCACATTTTTGTACAAACTTAATCCTTAAGAATTGTCAAGTATTATGTTTTAATTTTTACAATAACTACCATTTAAACACTTATAAAATGTGTTTTAAATTTTTTGATTTAATTATTGTAGCAAAACATGTAATTATGCAAATCACAACCCACCATATCTAGTTTCTTTGGAAAAATCAAACAAAACAATTACTCTTTTACATTAGACTTAGTAAAAACATAATGTAATATACATGATCTTAGAATTTAGTTGTACAACATAACAACATTATCAAACAGTCACATCACACTAACAAAACACTTTCGTATTGGAATAAAACTTTATAAAATAAATCACATACCTTTGCAAAACCAACAGATTACATCAAATCTAGTCCCACCATCTTACAAAGCACATTAATCTCAAGAAATATTTGAAACACTTTTAAAAAAGAATCTATCGAATGTATATCAAAAGGTTCCAATTTAATTAGTGTAGCTTACGTTTCTGAATTAGAAACAAAAAGATTGAGTAATATATTTTCTATAAGAAAGAATCCTCCAAACCATCTTCTACAAATGCCCCATTATTGACAATAATACATGGTTCTTGAATAATGCCTGAAGATGAACATAGCATCACTTAAATTCGTGCATGGTTGCAGCGGCTTTGAATGGACTGCAACATCAAAATGACCTCTCGATGCCGAAAAACTTCGATTATTGTCTCCGATTCTATTCTTGCCTCTTTGACTCCCCACAGGGTCTCTCACCCATGAATTCTTACTTCCATGGACTATACTAACATGTGGTTCTTTCCCCTCTTCAAACTCAACGTTCAGAATCCAAGCCATCGATGTGAGAGAAAGAAAAAGAAAAAGAAAGAAAAAAAACATTGTAAGAATCATGAACTTGTCTTCCATTGCAAGCAAAACATCAACCTGTACAACACATTCCTCACTGCAAAAACTGCCACTCGTCCGTGAACTTGGATCTTATTCAAGATATGATGCTAGTTGAGCTGTGCAGTGGGTGGTAGTTGTAAAGACGCCGGTGTCGTTTACACCACAATCTGTCCGTGGACAAACGGCATTTCACCACACTAAGCTCGACGTCAACAAACTTGGAATTAACACCGTTTGTGTCGGTATTTCAAGTGGTGGAAACTTAAATGGCAGCCACTGGGATCCAAAAATGAACCCCAAGCTTTGTCGAGGATAACTTTTACAAACACTTGTATGTTTGATTGATTAACTGCATTCGACATTAACTTGGACTAGTGAAGCGGTGGTGTTGAAATCACAGTTCACAGAAGAGCATCAATCTGCTTTCAACAAGTGCAGATCTGAGAGAGACCCCTTCATCTCTCTAATGCACCAGATCACAATTTATTGTGATGAACATCAGGATTTGGACGTTCAGTTATCGATCTGCGTTCAGTCAGTTGCATTGGATATTGAGTTTTGGAAGTTGGCTTTTTTGATGATCATGCTACTTAACTTCCGAATTGACTGGTTGATGATTTTCAGTGAAGAAAGAAGAAAGAGTTTGTGCACATCAACATCTGCAAAGTTCTTCCTTTAATAGTAAAATGCTTTTGCTCTTGATATCTGGTGCACACCTTGCTTTCTGTCATTCGGTTGCTCTGTGAACACAGATATGAGTTAAATTTACTCACTTTTGCGTGGTGATGTTGCATTTTGGAGCCCACAACATGAAAACTTGAGCTCATAGTAAACCATTTGGAAGGGTCAATAGCTCTTCTTTCCTTTTTTATCTAGTTCAATATGTACTCACATCTAGAAGTTTTAATCTATGGAGGATTTAGTAAGAAATACTAATACTTGTTTTGATTTTAAAATGTATAAAATTGTTCACTCATATTTAAAAAAATTATATTAATATTTGTGGATTTTTTTTGGATGACTATTTATGAACAGTAGTGTCATCAACGAGGTCAATTATGTATCGGAAAAATAAATTAAAAAATGAAAAAAATTACAAATAGAAAAATAATATAATTTCATTTATTTATCCAAATTATTGATTTATCAAAAAACATTATTATTTTAATTATTTTAATAGTTTATATATATATATATATATATATATATATGTTTATATATATAAAAGCAAAAGAAATTAGCTTGTGAATAGAAATAGTATGTACAGTATAAATACTATTTTGCAGAATATGTCATGTTAAATATAGGTCCTAATAATGATATCAATCAAATTGTAAAATACAGTAGTTAAAAAATAGAGCAACTATTGTTAGCTAAACTACTTTAACAAAATCTTTTGGTTGATATTGTTGTTTATTAATAACATGTGCAAGGAAAATAATTATTACACATTAAGAAATTTAGAGATGGATTAGAAAATAAATTATTTATAATATATATATATATATATATGATTTTTTTTTGAATCTATAAAATGATTTATATCATCTTCTTATTCTTTGTCAAAGTTTTTGTTTTAAATTATTTTAAGCTATTATATTAATGGCTTTAAAAAAGAGACTATAGCAAGAGCTAAAGCAATAAATTTTAGTTTATAAAAAAAATTCTTCATATTTTTAAAATTAAATTATTGATTTAATTTTTTTTAGTTATTTTTTATACATAACTTTTGATTTTTTTATTAGAATCCAATATAGAACATTAAGTTGCAAATACCATCTTAAGGTATACTCAAATTTTAAAAAATCTTTTGTTAGCAAGTTGTATAAATAAATAAACTTTATTTAGAAAATTTGGTAAAAAAACAATTATGGTAACAAAAAATATTAAGTTACTAGATATTTTTCAAAAAATGATAAAATACTAGATCTAATCAATTATTTGCAACTACTAGCCAAATTTTCTAGTACTTAATCATAATTTAAAGTTTATTTTTATTACACTCATGGTCACTTTGACTTTACATGTATAGCTCTTTTGAGTAAAAATTATGACATCATAGATAATTCTTTGCTTAGATTACCTCTATTTATTAATTTTGTAGTAAATTTCAAGTTTAAAAAAAAAATAATCTTAATTTATTTCAATTCAATATTTAAGTATGTAACAATAGATGGACATAATCTCATAATTTTGTGTGACCAATTTTTATATCTTTTAGTTTTTTTTTTTTTTTATTCATTTATCGAAATTAACTAACATAAATATTGTAGAAAGTCATATTATATGTATAATGTGTATAATACTCAAGAAGAATTATAATTTCAATAATTACAACAGCTAGGGTAATTAAAATAATCTAATCTTTAAAAAATTAAAATAAAATTATTACCCATACACATCTAAAAAAACTTGATGATTCTATCTACTACAATATTTCATTTGATGCATAAGAAGTAGCTTCTTTAAAACTTACAATACCATTCAAGGCCTTGTTTGATCTACTAAAGAACCATTTCATTACTTGGATGCTTTAAAAAGCTTGCAATCTAACAACAATAAGAATATAATTTACTAACTAGACCACCAAGAAATGCTCAAAGTGTTAATCTTATTTATGGATATTAATTTATCCGTTTTTTATTATAATAAATGTGATATTTTTAAATACATACATACATACGTATATATATATATATATATATATTCATATTCATGTGGATATTAATATTTGAATATTAGCAATCAAAATTTTTGTTCTTTATTAATACTTTTTTAACGTCCATTTATAATTGTATATAAATAGTGTAGTTTTATCTAGATGTCTAGAATAAGCAGTCTTTTTACTTTAATAATAGTTACAAAACAACAACAAGGATTAATATTACATAAATTAGTGAAAAGGAGGCGGTATATGGTAACAATGGATTTGTAGCCAAAGTGCTCAGGTTTATAATTCACAAAAATTTCAAAATCTCATTAATTAAAACAAAAAATACAATAAATTTCAATTCTTGAAACAAAAACACTATTTTTCTTGGACTTCAGATTTTGGTATGGACCCACTAACACAACATTATAGGATGCGTACTTCTCTTTTAAATATTTTTAAATTCAGAGTTAACAAAGGAAAGACAAAAAGTTCACCATTCTGAAAGAAATTCTCAAAATAAATTTATGAAAAATGATGCTCATGCGACCACAGTCTTGGAAACACGTTATAAATATCTGTGCCTAAAACACGAAGTCACGAGAGAAAAACAATTTGCACATTTACAGGAAGGCATTCAGGATTGATCTCAAAAAAGCGTTGAAAAGAGCGAGTTTACAGTTCAAAGGAGCAGATCACACATCTTCAGGCGTTCAACTCCGCTTGTGAAAGAATGATGTCCCATTTAACTATTTAACTAATGCATTGGTTCATAGATAAAATACTTGACTTAAACAGAATTGATATAAATGAACACCTTCATTGTGAGAGACATGTCTCTAACCTGTGTCAATATTACTCAGACACTCGCAGTTTGTAGTCAGAATGCAAACGCTCAAACTAAACATCTTCAAGTGGATGATTCGACGATGCAGTGGTTTATAAACTCAACAATGAGAAAACAAACTACAAATAAAACAGCTTGGAAAGAGCAAACAAGCATGACGAATGTGAGCCAGCACGAAGAGCCATAGCATCAATTTCTGAAACAAAGCTACTGTAGTTCTGATGAACTGGGTAAAGACTCAACACATGGCGAGTAAAATCACTGTTCCGAACAACTCCATGCAGTTTCAATTTGATATTATCTGGAACAAAGAAAAAAGAAAAAAAAAAAGAAAAAACACAACTGCTCTGAATCAGAAAAAGCCAACGCCATAGCCCATCTCATGAGTGTGGGTATCCTTCACCATCTCATCAGTCCAAGTCGCACGAGCTACACCGATTGCTCGCACCAGCAACTTCTCTCGTTTCTATTCTGAAACATGTCTACACCCCTTGCACTTCCAGATGTTTCTATATTTACATCATCCCCAACCTGTGCCGGCGTTTGCATGCCACACCAACTTGGTGTAAAGTTCATCTCTGACGAATCGAGGTGAGAAATCCGGAGTCGGAATCCCCTATTCGGCTACACACCTACAATACATATATCTACTGTGCCCAGCATGAAGATCTGATGATGATAACAAATGGCAACATCTCCATGAGAAGGAGGCAGTTTACGAAGCGGATGCCCTCCGCATGTTACCAACTGTGTGTGTGATCCTGGCGTTATTGGTGCAGTGATGCACCTAATTCCAGCAACGCGAGGTGGAGAGACCAGAGCTGCGCCCCCAAGGCCGATACAAACAAGATGGACATCACGGGCAGCACCGCCATGAGCACCGACGCAATGCCTACCACAGTCCCAGGCCTCAACGTCAGAAGCTGGCTTTGCATAGTGCTTAGTAAGAGGTAAACGTCTGCGCGGTAGTTGGGGTAAGCGGATCGCTCCCATTCTGCCCAATCCGTAGGAATATCGTTGATGCCCTCTTGGGTGCGAATGCTCTGGATACGCTTCCTCAACACCATCATGTTTGAGTCAACTAAACTTGGGCCACCTGTATGATCGAATATATTTTTGTGTCAAACAGAGGGCTAAGGACGAACTCAAGAATCGCAAGAAATTGCAGAAGGCTGTTTCATTTGCAACAAGGAGGAGCAGTAGGATTCAAGCATTGACGACAGAGAGCAAGAGTTTACCTGTTCCAGCCGACTCGGGCTCAGCCGTGCCCGAAGCTCTTGCAATACCCACCCTCTGTCTTCTGCACTTCAACGGCCTCTTCAGATCACCCAATTGAAATCGTGTAGATCGGATTCCGGCCGGAGTCGATGGCAAAGAGAGCGAACCAGCCATCACTGTCTGCGACGCCTGCACTTTGAGAGCCATGGCGAAAAAGAGATCGCGACTGACACCAACCTCAACAAAGTGCAGACTCGGTTCTCAGCGGAAACGTCGCAATCATCGACCTCTTCTACAAAACCCGCGCATACTCTTAAACGCACCTCTAATTACTCCACAGGAATTTCTCGCTTTTTGATTAGTGACGGAAAAAGAAGCAATAAGAAATATGAAGACGATCGATCATGCGATGGTCATGCGATGGTCATGCGATGGTTGACTCCCACTTTGACTTGCACAACACCATACTCTGCGCACTCCACAATTCAAACTCGACCCGATGCGGGATCGCCGATCGCAAAGCAGAATCAACTCTGAACCCGCAGGAATGCTTGAATCATCCCACACGAGCAAAGGCGAATTGTGGTGGGCGAACTGCAGAGGCGGCCCCAAGAGTCTATTTGAGAGAGACGACCATTGCTTCCTAAATCTACAAATCCAAATCCAACCCACCAAACTACTCGAAATGTACCAGAGATGTGCATCTAGCGAACCGATAGCAAATGCGGTGACGAGAATCCTGGGACACATGAAACAAATTCTCTATCCTCATTCATGTCAGAAATTCAACGAAAAACTGTCCATCGCAGTGAGCAAGCCGTTAGACGGATGGGAGGGCAGGGAACGTGGATGATGAATTGATGGAGAATGCTTTTGGGGAGAGAAACAAGTGGATTTTTTCGCTCATGGATAGAGCTCGATCCTATCCCACTCACCTCTACGAGACAAATTGCTGTGTCGACCAGCTGAGGGGTAGAGTTGTTCATTTAGGTGATGACGCTTTTCCCTATTACCTTCCTTTTTTACGCGCACTCAACGCTTTCTCGCATGCGCTTCTGCTGGACCCCACTCACGGTCTCCCCGCTGCGCTCTGATTTGATTCTGCAAAATTTTATTAATGCGGGAAGTGTTTTGTAGTCAATCCTGCTCCTCCGGTTGCCGCTGCTCCAAGCTTCGCTTTTGTGTCAAGTGGGACACTAACCCAGTTTCCACCTCCCAACGACGGCGTCATCTCCAAAAAATCCCTCACATTCTCGCACACTCTCGATCAAAACCACACCCACCTAAGACTGCAAATCGGACAAGCTCGACAAAACCGACGCGATCTCATTTGCGAAATTAGGATTTCGGCGTTGAGGTCGAAATCCGAAGGGATGAATGAGGGGTCAGAGTGAATGGATGAGAGTATATTCTGCGCATATATTCATCTATCGGTAATAGGGACTGGATCCCTCTAGCCGTGCTCATGGGCTTCGATTGTGGCCATGGGTGGGGAATCGAAGCGGAAAGGAGAAAAATCTGGTGAGGCGAGGATGATTGAGAGCCCCATGGCCACAACTTTAAGGGACCCCCACACAATTAAAGTGTTTTTATGTGGGTGGGTCCAACAACTTGCTTTGATCCATTTTTCGGGTTATAAGTGCCTATTTTAAAGGGGGAAATGTAAAAGAAGAGGGGGTGTAAATATCGGCCCTATCTTGCTTTAAAGATGGAGAAAAAATCAATATAGGGACAAAGTTTTTTCTCATACAAGAATGCTTTTTAGGGTTCCCAATTTGATGCACAATAATGAAGCTCTCATGATTGGGTATATCATATCCTATCACTTTAAAAATTCATACTTTTTAATACTTTTTTAGTTATTTTTTTCATTTAGATGTAAGAAATGACTGTGAACAAAGAAATAAACAAATGAAGATGAAATTATTTAAAGGAAAATAAAACAATTTGAGCGCTGATTGTCATGGACACTAAAAGGGTGTCTAATTTTTATAAAAATCTAGTAATTTGGAATCATGTATCATATAGGTCAAAGCACCTTTGTGTGATAAATTGTTTTTAACATATTATTTTTGCCTCAATCAATATGCAATATTTGAAGCTAAATAATCAAATCACTACTTGTAAAAAATTGATTTTTTTAATATTATTATTAATTTTTTTATTTATTTTGAAGAAAAAATTATTTTAAAAAAAATCATACATTGTACATCTTCAACTTTCATATGGTAAGATTAATTATTATGCTTTAAAGATTAAAATAGGTCACCAATGTTCTAAATCTATTATACCTTCTTCTTCTTCTTCTTCTAGCAAAGCAATTTGTTTTTTAATTAGGCTTCTACCAAAAGTTGTAATATTGTAATACATTATGAGTTTCATTCAAAAAGATTATGTTTCATGTGAATATTTTGATTCAATTGATAGTTTTGTTAAAATTTATTTACCTATCTAATCAACTAGATTGGATTTTGAGTTAATTGATTCTAAAGATATATTTAATGTATACCATTTACTTTCAATATAAAAGCTACATCTATAAGAGAATACATTTAGGCAATGACATTATTACAAGCCCTACTTACAATATACAATCTTTATTGCATACTACACAAAATAAAGCCTACAAGTGCACCTTCTTATTTGACATGTGAACTTATCAAATTCTTAGAAAGCCAAATCTTAGATTATACCAATAAGTCTTAAAATAAAAAAAATAAAAATACATACAAAAACATTACATTAGACCTTGCTAAAAAAGAGTTTATTTATTTATTTATTTATTTTATTTCACTTGCTTTTTTCTTCTTGTCTTAGAACCTCCACAACTTGGATAGCAAACAAGACACATATGCAATATTTTGGTCCTAAAAATTAAAAGAATTATTGGTTTGATATTATAAATTAATTTTAAAAAAATATTATTTTTTTCTTAATTTTTAAATATTATTTCTAAATTGATATATGATTGATTAAATCCATAAATTTATCATTCAAATTTTGTGTGTGTATATAATAAAATAAAAAATATATAATACTAGTAATAATTATACTAATAAGATGTCTATTTTTATTTATATTTTAAATGATAAGATTATATTTACTTACAATTATCTCTTAATTAGTTATATAATTTTTCTTCTCATATAATAAATTATATTCTACTTTAATATTGATATATATATATTTTTTTAATAATATACAAATTATTTATTTTATTCACTGAAATTGTGCATTTTTATTCGTTTTTTCTTTTTATGTAAAAAAATCTATTTTATTTTAGGAACCAATCATTTATTTTGTAAAAAATAATAAATAACTTTGTCTCTTTGATTAGGATAACTTGAGTAATAATTTATATTTTGTGGTATAGTAGAATTAATAACTTAACTTAGACATTACTAACTAAGAAATGTTAATATGATAGTTTTTCAAAACTTTGGATCACTTCTTTTTTAATTGTACATAATCATCTTCTATCTTTGTATTATATTATAAATAATTTTTATTTTCATATTAAATCTTTTTATTATAATTTATATGTATATCGACAATTTTTTAATTTTTTTTAATTTTTGTTTTTTTTTCTTGTTTTACACTCTTTTGTCATGTTTAATTACTAACAATTATGGTAATGTCTAATCTATAACCCATTTGTGATTCTTTAGATTGAGTTGATAAGTATATTGTCAATTAGGTGTACGTAGGGGCACTTTATACTTATGACACAAGGGGAGTGGCCTTAAATTTGAAATGATTTGATTAATTGAAATTGTGAAGCCTCTTTATATTAGCTTTATACTTTGAAAAATGAGTCTGTAGACCCTAAGAAGAAAAGATGATGTAGAATGCACTTTTTTACTACATATCATAAATAGTATTGTCTTCCAAAATTTTTACTAGGTTTGTATTAAAGAGGTGGTGTTTAAAAAAAATTGAGAAGCTATAATAACCATTAGAAATATGAAGTTAAGTTCATTACACTTCGTATGATTTGTTGAACCAAGATATGGATTGATATATTTAGACTTGTAATAAAAAAATGATATAGTCTATTTTATAGAATCTTTTTTTAATCCTATTCCATATCCAAAGGCCAAGACTTCTAAATATAGGTTTTTAAAAACCATTAGAGAGTTCTTAATAAGACATTTAAACCATTGCCTTTTCAAGTCCGCTTCTAGGTGTAAAGTATCCCTTAGTAGCTATGTTTATAATAACTTCTAATTGTAATTTATCTATCTATTTGCAACTTCTTTTTTATTTTTTTTATTTTCATAATATAATATTTTAAAAATATTTTTATTCATAATTATACATTTTATATTTAGTAAAATCTTAATTATCTAAAATTTTCTTTTATATCAAATAGATGCAATATAAATTAAAATTACTTTGAAATCTAAATATAATTATTGAATTTTAATTAGATATAAAAAATAAAAAATAGATTAAATTATTGGTTGTAGTTAATTATATAAGTTTTTTGTAAGAATCTTTTATAATTACAAAAAAAATTATCTAGCCATATAATATATAGAGAATTGTTAACACTACATTTTAAATTGATATTGGTACATCCCACCTGATCTCCACATGATTTAAATTAACTAAAAAGCGTGCTTCTATGCTTAGGGCAGGTTTGGCGGCTCAATATTTAATCCCCATATTTATCTAAAAATATAATAAATATAATAAATAAAAAATAAGTTTTTTCATATTTTTGGCAACCTAATTAATTTAAAATAAAAATAAAAACCAACAAAATTTTGAATTCAGTTATTTATGACAAAAATATTCAATTTATAAAAAAACTTGCAACTTGTTTTTTTATAAAATATTTATTATCTCTCTCTCAAGAATCACCATTCCTTAAAGTAAAGAAAGGAAAAAATGTGCAAAGAGAAGAGGCATATTATTAGCTAGTTGTGCATGTGGAGGTCACATGAGGTGTAGCAACATTAGTCAGGGATGTAGCATAAACAAAAAAAAATTCTTTCTCTTTCCTTTTTTTCTCTCTCCTTTCTATATATATATATATATATATATATACATATATATATATACATACATATAATTAAAAAAATTAATATTGGAGAATTTATCCCTAAAATTGATATTATTTTGGTCAAAAGTATATATATATATATATATATATATCTATGCTTTAAATTTTAAAGAGTTATTTTGATATTTTTCAAAAATATGGAAAACAAAGCTCCTAACACAAAGCAACTCTAACAGCTCAAAGTTTATAAGTTTTTCTTTGTTTTTTTTCCAAAGAAATTCTAAACCCTAAATCTTATCACAAATTAATTCAAAACATTTTATATGTTTCCAACACCTTTAACTAATATCTTTCTGTGCTTTTATTGATCAACAAGTTTTGCAATCATTAAAATACTTTGTCATGTACTTTTTACAAAAAAAATTTGAAAATTGATTTTTGTAATAACAAGCAAATGCATAATTTCCTCTATATCTCTTATTTATCCATTTAATAGTGTAGTATACAATTTTTTTTGTGTAATTACTAGATGATTTTACCGATCTGGAGTTCTCGTGTTTGTTTTAAAATCATCTAAGTTTGAGAAATTTTTCAAAGCATCAAACACTTTTTGTATGGTTCCCAAGTCTAGGGAGTACGTTGAATCTGAATTGCTCAAGAGTATTGATAATGTAATCTTTAGTTTTAACACCAACTTTGCTAAAAATTGGTTGATGCTGGAAGTAATGTTCATTTGCACATGCAAATTCAAAGAAAATAATAAAGAACTCATTTCTACATGATCAAAACAAAAGTTACTAGCATTGGGTACGTCCTGATTGTAGCTTAAAAGAGTGCTCAACTATGATCGCAAATCACATTTACATATTTCAAATAAAACAAATGAATAATATTTACTTAATTAGAGGTCGTACATATACAAGACTGAATCTCATTGCTTCGACCCAATTGTGTCATAACTACAATAAACAAATGCCACGGATCAAGAACTTGAGGGAGCACTCACTTTCGTTAACATGCAGTATTAGTTGATATGAGTACTACAACAGAAAATAGATCACACTGTTCTAAATACACCTCGAAGGTGCAATGAAAGTGGTGCCTTCAACAGTCCCCACATCTCTACGTTTATGTTGATTTTGAAGAAATTTGGAAACAAAGTTAAGTAAATTGGTATCAAATCTATGAGAATGTCGAGAGCTTACTAGAGACAACAATGTACAAATGTGTGGATTGAGAGGGCTGCTCAGTACACCAATTTCTGTACATGATCCACCAATTTCATAAACACGGGCAGATTTAAGCAGGACAACCAAAACATACAGTTAGCAGTAAATCACAGAAAACACGATAATACAAGGAACCTCATTCTCGCCGATCACTGCAATTTTTAGGCAGATTGAGCTCCTAGACTATCCTTCACGTTTTTAGTGGTAAGTGTTGACCTGCACTATCCCGCCGCACGAGTTCGATGGCGCCAAGCTTACTCCATTAACTCCATTACAGATAGCCGCAGCCGAGTAGGTACCCAGGTACCTGGTACGGGATGAACAGAAAATCTAAATGGCTCTTCGCACCAGAACATTTTACTAAACCCTGGACCTTTTACCTTCTCAAATTGTTCGTACATGATTTTGTGTTTTTTTGTTCACCCCAAACTCATAACCCTACACCTCACTTACCACTATTTTAGGGACTCCCAACAATTGGTTGCCCGTCAATAGGACGTTCAAAAAAACTGAGGCAGCTACCCAACATGTCTACAGACACACACGGACGACGGACAGATGCAGTAAAAAGGTCAGAGTGCGAGCTGGGTACCTGTTCTGCGAAATCGATTACACGTTAAATGTGAGAAATTTTTAGTCTTGGAGCCCAACCAATGCATGGCACCTAGAAGTTTTACAGTGCATTATCCACTGCGACTTTACACCCACAGTGTGTCGAGAACTACTTCAGCAAATACTGAACGCAATACACGTCGTTGGTCAGATCAGACTGAGGAAGCACCAATTCTCAGCGACATCCTAATGTGTAACAATCTAAAAGAGCGTGGTTGTCAGAAAACTTGAATAGTGGCTTCGAAAAAAGTGAGGCACACTTAAGCTACAATCACCATTATTGGTAAAGCTTACAGCATGTTTCCTTTAAATATCTTCTACATCCTCGTCAACATCTCCAAAATTTTCAGCAATCTCATCTACGTCTTCATCTGCATAAGCATCTAGAAGTTCATCCATGTTCGTGTCTTCTACATCAGTGATCACAGCTGGGGTGTCGGGTTCCGCCAGCTTTCGTTTAGCTTCCTCTTCTTCGTATTGCTCCGCAAGTTTCTTCATATTCTCTAAACTTTGATCGTTGAATAAAGCATGGAAAGGCTTTGTCACCTGAAGCAGAGGCATATGCACGATGATAAGGAAAAAGGTTTGAAAATCATATTGATGCTTTACAACCTTCGTCACAAAAGCTCTAAAAAATATGCAATCACCAGCAGAATCTACAGAAAAGTACACAACACATACTGAACGCTTCCAAAAGTCCAGAACAGACAGAGTAGCATTAATTTCACAGTACAGCATCTGCACACCTTGTAAAGACGATGCCGCTCAATTGAACTGGTTACAAGATTTCTCCAGTGCTTATCAATCTTTAAAGCTTTTGCACATCCTACAACCTGCAAAGTAATTTGGATAACAAGAAGTCAAACAAATATACTCGAAAGTATTCTTAAGAAAAAGTCGACAAGCTTCCTGCTATTTCATATCAGCTTAGTAATACCGTAAGGCTTGGCCAAAATAATGTGGTGATATCATAAATTGTGACGATGTTTACCATTGCAACACACCTCTGCACTCAAGGAAAAAGATGATATCGACGATAGTCCACAATACGCTTATACATCAACAACAAAATCCATAGCCCTTTTCGCATAGTACAGGAAACAGAAACAGCCACACACATGCTGCCTATGGCTGTTACTGTTTTTGATCCATTAGTAGCACACTTCGCAAACAAAAGCAGTGAGATTGAGAACTCTTACCAGCATAGATGCCCTAGCTCGGGTTAATCCCACGTTCATACGTCTAAAATCAGAAACAAACCCTATGCTTTTTCCTTCTGTAGCTCGAACACAAGAAAAGATAGCGATATCTTTTTCTCTTCCCTGCACGTACAGGAAAGGACACAATGAGTCCAGAATGACAGCAAGGTACACAGTAATCACTAAGACCTCATTAACGATGAATCTAGGAAAGAAGAAACCCAGAAGAATGTCAATTAATAAGTTAAGTTTCCAATAGCACATTAAGCACAGACTTCTTACATTGAAAGGGAAAGAAAACTAAAAAAGGAAAGTGTTATTCTAGTCACTAATGGAATGAACCTTAATACATGCCACAATACATTGTGTTGCAAAAATTGGGCAACATCTAGACTTCGGTAGTATACCTGAAACCCATCAACAGTGTTGATATCAACAAGACGAGCAGTTTCTTTTCCAAGGACCTCAGTAAAGCGTTGGCGAAGTAATTTGACTTGGAGCTTGTATGGAGATATCACAGCAACAGTAGGAGAACCTTTCAATTCTGGATATAAGGCGACCAGATGCCTATACAATACTAGAACAAACTCAACTTCATCTTTGTTGACCCAGGACCCACTTCCTGGAGGTTGACTCTCTTCACCATCTATGTCGAAAAAAGTGTAAGGCCCAAAACATCGGTGTTCGTGCCACGGACGACTTGTCACTCTTTCCACGTCATCACCATCCTCTAATGCCCCCTCATAAAATTCTTTTGATGGAAAAGCGCGGATCTGACACAAGAAACATTCATGTAATATAAACAAGGTCCAAGTAACAATGAGCTACGCCCAGCGAACCAAAAATCTACCTCTCAATAAAAAATTAAAAAACATAAAATAAAAATAAAATAAATAACACACATCCAGAAATAACATGAATGAGCTCAAGAGGCAACTGTCAACAAGAACCTTCCAAACAAGAGAACTGCATCTGCAAGCAGATCTTAAATTTGAAACTAAGGTCCGAAATCAGTGGATTATAATTTCTTTTTGAACTTAGAATGCTACGTAGAGTAATTCAAGTCAATCGATGTTGGGTCAGCCACGTAAAATACCAGGGGATGCATACGATACTGCGTTTTCAGCATTTTTACAGGATATCCAGCCTTCTGCAATCGCTTAAACATGCTCATCCCATACCTTCAGAAACAAAACATTGTTCCATATATATTTTTGTAACAGGAGATAAACTTGTAGTTGTAGAATACAAATTCAAACACACACATACACAGATAGATAGATGGATAGATGGATAGGAAGATATGAACGAATGCCACGCAATGAACAAATGTTTACCCATGAGAAACTGCTTTAGTGGATAAAACAGTGGCTGGCAGTTGCAGTGGATCTCCAACCTGCATTGTCATATGAAATTCTAATGAGGCGAAACTGAGTTCAGCTACCTGGAAAAAAAAAAAAAAAAAAAAAAAAAAAAAGAGAAGAAGAAGAAGAAAGTGAAGGTCCAGGTTCTGATGTTCATCATGTTCAACAACCTTGATTCTTATTAACATAATAAAAAGTTCTGTCCCTTTATATTTGAAGTGGTAAAGGTGCGTTCTCAAGGTCATGGCTCAAACAATCTGATTCTTTCATGTACCAAGTACTATCAAGCCATATTCTGCAATCTTCAGTCGTGTTCAGTGCTCTAAGGCCCTCGTAGTATTAACATAACCAACCTTACTGGCCAAAACCTACACAAACCACGTACATACCAGAAACACTTGCCGACAACCATGAACAAGCGGTACAAGTGTTGATGGCTCCACCTGCACATGCTTCCACGATTTTACTTACCACACAACTACTTTTCCAAATTATAAGTTTGAGATCAGCACAGAACAGAGAAACTTTCACGTTCCAAGTTGAAACAATTCAACAACGCCAGAAAAGGATGTGTTTCTCACCGCCTGGGCTGCCTCATCAATGATAACAACATCAAAGCCACGATTCATTCGCAAGAAAACGCCTGCGCCACTGAAGCTCAACGTAGAACATACCTGCAAGAATCCGTATCAGATGTCATAAATTTATAATCACTTCAGGCCACTTCACGAATATCCATCAACTAAGAAAATCATCCACATGCACTCAAAACATGAACGAGAAATAGTTCCTTCAAGCTAATGTAACATTATGGATTTATTGCAAACTCACAATGGCCGCTTCGTCTAATATGGAAATTCGACAACGGTCACGTTCCATTCCAGCACTAGCCTTGGGACCAGCTGATACAACTGACTTTTGCACACCGCTCAAACGTTGATTGACCTGCATATTTCATTTTGATGGTTATAAAATGCATCTAAGAAACGACACTATATTTTCATGTCCGTACAGTCAAAAGACTCATGCGAAAGGACCACACATTCAGAATACTAAAATCCTGATATAGACTCTTAAAACATCTGAAAAATTCGAGCTTTGGTAAATTTGGTACTATAAAGACACTCATTCTAACACATCACTTGTTACTTTGCATGCGATAACCATTCGTTACAAACGAAAAGGAGATAGGATTGCGAAACTCACTAGAGTGTCCATGGTAACAGCAGACACTGAATGATGTGCATTAAGGCCCACTCTGACTACGTTTGGTGTATAAGCTTGTCCATTTTCATCCCGAAGTCCTGCAAGTATTGGTCGCCAGTTTAAGTTGCAGCTTCAATGTACAACATTGATTGAAATCATCGCAATAACTTCAACGTAGCATGCTAAATTAGTTCAAAACAAATACAAAGACGTCTTCAGATAAGCCACACAATTCCAAATAGGATAAAACAAAATCTAGTAATATGGAGCGACCTGTGTTCAATAGACGCAACACTATTTCATCCAAAGCTGAATTCGATGGAGCACACACTAACACGTGTTTGCGATGCTTCCGCTTAGCTGCAATACTCTCTGGCCGCTGCACTCAACCAACTGAAGGGATTAGATGCTCAGAATCTTCAATTGCAATACTAAGTTGCTTAAAAAAATCTCCAGGAAAATGCCTATTTTTTAGCTGCAAAGTTAAAGAAGGAACTCGTGACAAGGCCATAGGCTTATAGAGAATCGTCAATGCTTGGAAGTCAAAAATATGTATCTAAAAAGAAAACCGGTGAAAGTATACAGTAATTAGCCTAACTATACGATCTCTGACCTTGGTGAAAGAAGGCAAGAACGATATAACACATTATCAAGACATATGTTGTACGATGCTCGTTAGACAGTGAACAGTACACGCTGTTGCTAAACAGAAGCACCTTTGACAAGAGTTCTATTAATCTGACATAAACACAGACTTACAAACTGATTGGTAGAGGTGGGAAAGAACCCATCATCACCGTCCATGGGCATGATGAGATCTCGAGGGTTCACACTTTCATTTAGCCACGGTGAAGCCTTTATCCAGTGATCCATCCTGCAAGGGAATGCCAAGAAGCACAAAGAATCATATCAAACGAGAGAACAATAAGAAGTCTAAACCAATTGCAGAGTGAATTTTCAAATTCCCAATCTGTTAAAAGAGTAAACAACTCAACACATTTTCATTCACATAATTTCCATCATCTCGTATTTAAATAAAAAACGATGTTTGGTGGAGTTGTGTATATTTCCAGCAAAAGAAAATTGCAAAAAATAACCATATGTCAGGAAGTAAAACCTCTTCGTAGATGTGAGTTCCAGCTTGTGTTGGATAGATACATCACCATTCCTGCAAATTAATGATTCATTATAAGTGAAACCCGGGATATATGGTATTGCAAAAGAAACAATGAAATGATCATTTCAAAAAGTAAAACTTAATAGTCTATACCATTAATCAGTTTTCCTGATTTACAAAATCTATTGCTGAAGGATTAACAGGAAAGCATACGCTGGTTAAAACTGAAAACCTAGATAAGTAAAAGCAACTGCATCAACCGAGAGAAAACGAAGCGACAGCACTACTTGAAAGGCTGTCTAACCGGTGTGGAGTGCAAAACAACGCTGAGAAGGCCAAGGATAGTTTGTGTCTTGCCTGTTCCAGGTGGCCCCTGCATCATAATAGAAAGTTTACAAGGAGGAACATCCAACCTTTCATGTAAAGAGAACTAGGCATAAGTGACTGACTCAAGAAGAGTGAAAATCAAACGTACCCAAATTCGAAAGCTGGGGAAGGATTAAAGCAGCTAGAACCTACAACAGCGAACAGCTAAAAAACAGGAAGCACCTACTGATGATTGTTCATAACGCTTAACCATAACAAGGAAACTCTCCTACCTACGATAGATGTACCATCAATCAGGTGAATCTATAATTCTAATACGTTTTTAAATTCGGGGGTCCGATACATTAGACTGAGAATTCAGGCTTACGGTCTGTATAAGCCACAAAAAGTGACAAATCTACTCTCATTCACAGGTAACACAAATGGTCTATGAAGAGAAAAAGGAAGAACCTGGATAAGGACCAAAGGATCACGTGAACAACCAGCCTGCGTCAGTCCAACTGAGACTCAGAACATACAAATTTTACAAATGAAGCACAAGTACAAATGAAGCAACCTTCGTCTGACTACGCTGATCTTGAAAAGAGTATGATTCAATGTGAATGTTTCGGAAGTAGGACAGTACACCCTTCCTTTATCGTCCCTCCAATTCAATAGCTGAAGAGGATAGTATAAGACAAATTACTATTCACGAGAAATTATGAGGAGATGGGAATACCTGGATAGCCTGAAGCTGGGATACATTATGAGTATGATTTAAGTGATCCAACAACGAAGGAGGAATGGTCCATTGACCTGAATCTTTTGCTGATTCGGGGTCATCAGATTCAACGAGACTAGCAGAAAGAATGGTCTTAACGAATGGTAGCGTGCCTACTGATCGAAGCGAGGTATACTCTCGTGATATCGTTGACATGTTGCATAGCTGTATGACAGAAGAGTGCATAAGTTACTAAACAAGAGAAGAATCTACAGTAAACAAGACTATACAAGATGTAAGTGATGAAATAATAACTCACTCGGAGTTACAAACGAGTAAACATGAACAAAGATATTCCAAAGATATTCTTGTTGTTTAGCCTTGTACTGAAAAGACTCTTGATTGCAAGCACGTGACTACCTTAAGGATCCACCAGGCAGTTTTCGGGCCTGAAAGAGATGCGAGCACTTTATCTGAAGCGTCATTCTCAATTGAGATCCCCGTCTCAGCTTCCTTATCCAGATACATGCGTATCCGTAAAGCTTGTTGGCCCTCCCGACTTTCCACATTTGCAAGAGCATACGTACTCGGCAACTTCCCTTGCCCTAGCTAAAATTTTCAAAACAATTGTTCTCAGTAGAAAGTGGTAATATTGAGAAGCATATCTACCTTTCAAACACCTTTGCGTTCGTCGTAAAAACCTCAGCTGCATCTAAAGAATACAGATGATGAGACCTATCAGTAAAAAGCAGCTCACGCAAACAAGCCTAAAACCATGAGTATGTTTCACACGCTCGAAGACGTTAAATGAATGTTTGTAAAGGCTTAACGTGCAATATCATCACATATACCTGCTCTTTGCTTAAAAGCACCAGATCGTTCTCATAGTACTCTTGACATTCCCCAGCATCAATGGCGAGTTTTACGAAGTGAAATTCGTTGACTCTCTCGCATTGAATCACTGCCACCATATGGCATTGTCTTGCACCTGCGCCACACCACAAAAGTGGGCGTAATCCTATCTGGTTACACACGTCGTGCTCATAAAACGAGTGACACAAAAATTTTCATTACAAAGAGCTCTTACACTCTATCTAAATTTGAAAAGTGAATGAAATAACGTTTAAGTCTGGCTGTGTGTGAATGCTGCAGGTGGTGGTTCAAATAGCGTCGATTGTTGCATGAAACATCCATTATTATTTTAAAATTAGGTGTTGCCGAAGCAACTAATTTGTTCATGGGCCACAAGAAATAAACATTCATATATATAGAGGATCTGAATAAGATTGGCGCATCAAAATGAATACTGGGCAAACCTTCTTCTTCATCCCCACGCAGAATTTGCGCACGACATTCCTCGAGAAGTAGAGACTCAAAAACCTCTAGATATTCATCGAGGTCCTTAAATTTATCAGGAACATTACGCAGTGCAGACCCTTTAGCTAAATCTGATGCCTTCCTCTTCTTCTGGTTGGCCTGCCATGAATACAGTGCGTTGCGGTTAGAGGGCAGCCTCTAAACCAAGTGCAAAACATTATACAACGTTGTTCTATTTCTAAAATCTGAGAACTAGAAAGAACTGGAATCAGTCCACAATGAAAAAGTCAGCACTCTTCATTAAAACACAGGTTCCACCTTTGTGACATGTGTAGTGAAAATAAATCGTATCTTAATGAAAACGAAAAACCTGTAACGTCAACACATTCTAGAAAAATCTATAGAGAGCTCTCAAATCATGCACTGATAACTGATTAAGCTCACACCTCATTTTTGATGTGCATCGAGAACAACACACAAAAGAATCACCGCAGCACCCGACGGAATTCCTCGATCATAAGAATTGGAAAAGAAACTATATCCAAGTGAATTGGAAACAAAACCATGACTACGGAGAGAAGCATCGCTCTAGGGTTCAAGACTGAGATGTCCTAAATTTCAATTTCTCACCAAAATGGCACAATCCCACACTCAATCAACACGATTTTCTCGTGTATTTCAACGAAATCCCTCGTCCACGCTGAACTACATTATGACGACCTTACTGTGAAAGATGAAAGACTCCACACAATCTAGAGGACGAATCGATGCCGCGCTACACAAAAATCGCGCTGAGGCCGATCACTGAAAAATTCTTACCTTATCTTCTGTGACGATGCGAATATAATCCCAAGCGAGGACGGATTTCTGCAGACGAGTGTGGTGCGATGCGACCTGCGCAGCGCGGTCCTGTCGTGCCGCGCCCATGGCGTTGGTCCCCATAGCCAAGTCGCAAGCTCAACAACAGAGCCCCCTCCAAACACAAAACCCAGAACCCTACCAATTTCAGAATAGCAAAACGCATGGGGAACGACCAGGGGAACTCTGTCCCCAGAGATTGGGAACCTTCGTTGACAATTCTTTGGAATATTCTAACCCATCAATAAAAATGTCATATTGGCTAATATTTAGTTTAGCTTTAGTCTGTAACGACGACGAGAACATTCGAAAATCACTGACAATGTGAAATGCCGATGTGGATGAGAACAGAGATGCCAAAACAGATAAGAAAATATAAAATCTTTAAAAATTATCCTTTCTAAATTTCACATTTTCATAGAAGTTCTTCTAGTACTGGTTCATGGATTTCAAAATTCTTTGATACCAAACTTTGAGGATTAGTACTTGGGTTACATGCATGTATGTTGATTCTGAAGTAGATTATTCATTTTTATGATGTAGTGGATGTGAATTTGAACGGGTATAGTTATTGGGTTGCATGATATGCAATAAATTTTATAAATTTATTTCGTACAGTTTGCAGTTTACCACATGAATATGACTCATTTGTCTCGTCCTAATGCACCATGAGGAGAGCTACTTGGTTGGAAGTCCTGTAAAGGTTTCGCTTACGTGAGCTTGTCTCTAAGACACTGTCAAATTCCATTGGTCGAAGTAAAATGTTTGTCTCTCTGTTTATTCCACAAATGAGCCTCTCCACCCATCTGCAAAATCTGTTGCCCATGTGCTGATATGAAAGGAACAGCTTCCGCAGCAGGAAGAAAAGGAGAAGATAGAAAAGAGCAAGTGCGGAGACTGTTTCACGAGCTAGAACTAAAATTCCAGCAATGTAGAGCAAGGTTGACTCGGATCAGAGTTCTCTGCAAACATGCACACTCGGACTGATGTGCGAGCTGAACCATGGCAGTTCACAATTCTGACGTAATCCATGCATACAATCTACTTGTTGGTTCAGAGTATTTCCTATTCATCTACATTTGGATAAATTCTTTCCATGTAGGGCCCTGGCACTTGGAATCTCAAAATCTGTGGTGCAACAGTATCATGAGCATCCATTGTTTGTGTACTCCTATCGTTTCGGTTGCTAGAATGAACATCTGCGAACCAGGAAGCTTCAAGATGACATGGATACGGTAAGTAGAGAATGTTTTAGAAGGCAGCTCATGTGGAGAATGTGTAGATCGTTGACATGATCAAGGACGAAGTGACCAACGAATGGGTCGAAGAGAGATCTATGAGCACCACGGTACTCATGGATGCTCGTAGGAAGCGCATCCGCCCATTGAAAATCTTCGATAGTGATAACTGCATCGTGGTGTCTCCACGCGGCGAAGTGAAAGGCATTCATGTCGAAGCTTTCACCTTTAAAAAGTAGAGGGAAAAGATAGTTTTCAGAGTTCTCAGTTGCGAGTCGTCACGAAACCTAAGCACCAATTGAGCATAACGGAGTTCGTACTCCGGCGTGGACTAGGAATGTTGTTATGGTTAGATTTATACTACATCATTGGGATTCAAATATCCAAACCAGTCCTGAACTAAATCCAGATTCGCAAAGTTGCCAAGTCCCACTGTATCACACGGTGTTTCATGCCACATACAAGACACCCAAGAACAGAATTTCAAGGTGCCCAACACCGGTCAGCAATTGAATAACCATAAACGTCGTGATGTCTTCAATAGAAAGTCCGAAAGTGTAAAATTTACTTCAATAAACTTGAATACAAAAACCGCGAGTTTAAAAGTGCACTACCGTAATTTAATCTTCCTCTTCTGCCTCGTTGTCAGCAATGTTGAAGTACCGCAACTCATAGACGTTCCTGTCTTTGTTCGACGCAATCACCCGCAACCAATCTCTCACATTATGCTTCTTCAGATACTTCTTGGTCAAATATTTCAAGTATCTGATGAGTCAACAATTCATGATTGCAGGCCAACAGAGGCAAATGTGAGGAGACAACTCTAAATGTACAACCCAAAAATTCACAGAAAACAAGTTGGATTTAATCGGGTGAAAAGTTTAAGCGAACTACGCTCAGAAACTCAAAATTTTCGTCAAATAACAGACTAGCCCGCTGAGAGGATTCTTACAGGGAGATTGAAGAGATAGGCCAATGAAAAATGAAAACCCTAATTCAAAAATTCGAGCTTATGCCAACGAAACATACTTAAATACAACAAAAAATTCCATTCGATTCATCCCAACGCATACACGCCAAGGAAATACCGCCAAATTTCACTTGCACTAAAATGCACTTTCACGAAGTTTTAATAGCAGGAGACAACTACACCCCGACAAGAAGGATGTAACAAAAACGCACCTCTTAGAGAAAGAGCTCTCCGAAGTGACGCTGATTTTGTTCTTCTCACGAGAGATGGTAACAGCGCTACCGAGAACTCCGGCCTTTCCGTCGACTTTGATACGATCGTTGAGGAACTTCTCAAAAGAGGCAATGTCCATGATCTTATCTTCAACGGGCTTGCCACAGTCGATGGTGAAGGTCTGAGCCTTCTTCTTCCCCTTAGACCCTGCATGAACTTTCTTGGACGCAACTGGGGGCGCCATTGCTGCGGGTCCTGCGATTCACTACCTGCTCTGCTTCGTGGGAAGAACACTACGTCAGGCCGCGAAAACAAAAGGAATCTATCTCCGCAGGCTCAACCTCATGTGCGAACCCGCAACACAGCATCAAACCCTAATGGATGGATGGATGGATGGATGGATGGATGGGTCAATGCATGCATGCATGGATGAATGGATGGATGGATGAATGGATGGATGGATGAATGGATGGATGGATGGGTGAATGCATGGATGGATGAATGCATGGATGGATGGATGGATGGATGGATGGATGACATCTTTCGATCTAACATCCAAAGTCGTCGGCTGATGCATGAGCTGCTTAGTATGAGAGTCACCAACCTCCATTTTGAGGAAGCAACTCACAATTTGTCCAACTGAAGAAGATACAAAATCGTGAATTAAAACATACTAGAAAAGTAGAAACAACACACTTATTCGGTCTAGGAAGTTTTATATTTAAGATATTCATGTGTTACAAGTATTCAAGAGTAAATATAATTAAAAGGGGCCAATCCAAAATAAACAAATTTAGGACTTAGCATTTAAAATGTATTTAGAATATTGGATTTAGAAATCTGTATTTGATTAAAACTTAGAATTTAGCGTTTTCTTTGTATATAGGATTTGAGATTTAATGTTTTCTTAGGATTTAAGATGTATTAAAGTTTGTTGATGGTAGAATTGAGGTTTAGATTTTTTTGAGAATTTCTTAATAGATTATTAAGTTTGGAATTTCTTAGGCATTTTTAGCATTTATAATTTAGAAATTATAAAATAAAATTTTTGATTGGATCTAAATGAAGTTGAAGCTTAAATTAATTAATTAAAATATCTAAAATAAAAATAAATTAAAATGTAAGGATTAATATGTATGTTAAATTCTAATTATATGCAATTATAAAATTAAAGAACACTGTAGGATGTTCCTAACTTCTTTGTACGAACATATTTAACAAATAGATGGTCTTAGAGGTATACAATTCAACTTTATAATACAAACATCTGACTCTATAATTTACATTTAGAAATAATATTTTATATCATATATTTATTAATTAAATCCATACTATTGTAATAGAATATATGTAAAAAATAAGTTACATTTGAATAAATTGTAAGAAACAAATTGTAATTAGCAGCTATAATAAATTGTTGCAAGAGCAACTTACTAGGTAACCAAGTAGAATGACTTCATGTTGGCCAATTGATGATGTACACAACATAGCCATGGCTTAGGAAATACAAAGTTTGATTTAGTTGTTTGTCTGAGTGAAAAATTAGTAGGTCATTTGCCACTGATTAGCTCTAGCAACATAACACTATAACTATAGATGTTACTTTTTTTCAATAATCCATCCACTATGCATGTACTCTATATAATATTCGAAATAATTTAATAATTTGTATTATGAAGACAACCAATATTATATAATTGCTAAATGCATCATGTTTTTTTTCAAAATTGTTGAAATGATGTATTTTTATAATTACATACTACAATATAAAATATAAATTTTGGATCTTTTTACTTATCAACATAATAAATCTAATAATATAAGCATGTTTGGTGCCAAAGAACCAAACGTGCTAGCAACAATTGTTGTTATATAGAGGGTTTGCTTTCTAGTAGCTTTGCCAAATTAAAATCAAACCTATGACGCTCCAATTTTCATCTAACAAAACATTTAAATACCTAAATTTTCACACCCTAAGAATCATAAGATATTTCTTCTATGCTTCTACATAAGAACTATCATAAATATACAATAGATCTAGATTGAGGTCATCTAATTCTTCCATTCCAATTATCAAGGTTGATATCATCTAATTCTTTTATGCCAATTTATTTCTAAATATATCTTCAACAACTTGATACTTCTATCTATTAATTTCTTTATTGATACATGTCTTGTAATATTCTACCATTCACTTGAATTTGTTCATAACTTAAGATTTATTCAATGTATTAATAAAGTAGAAAGATAAGACATAATAAAATTGTATTTATAAACTCTTTATTGGAATTTCTATTATGGAATCTTTAATAGAATTTTTTTTCTATTTAAGTTTATAGATAGTAAGTTTTTTTTATTGCTATTTGGATTTAATAAATCTATTCTATTTATAACTATCTAAACTACTTATGGTGGTTGTAACTATCTTATCTTTCCAACACATAGATAGCTAGTCACTGTGCTTTTTTAATTTTTTTTTTATTCTAAATCTTTTTTTATCTTCATTTCATTGTCTTTTTTCTTTAATTTTATACCAAGATTTTTTTTTCTTTTTATCAATATTTATTTTTATTAAATTTTAAAAAAATTAAATCTTAAGCTAGAGGCAAAATTTATTAATTAACTTTAAAATTATATTAAATGTTTTAAGAATTGAAAGTATTTTTGAAGATAATTCTAGGATTTAAACATTTTTAGACTTGATGTGTCAATGAATGACTTGAAGAATATAATTGTAATAAAGATATGGAATTCCTTAGGCTGAGCCAATTGCTACATTCATTCATGTATTCTAACTGAGATGATCTTCATATACCAACTTCTTTATATCAAAGAAATTAATCTTTGATTATGATTTAGCTTTAATAAAATAATATTAAATAAAATCTATAGTAGCTTAGTTGTTTATTTGGTGTGTCCAATGTGTTAAGTCAAAGATTTAATTTGCTCATGACTTTGCAGTAGAAGAGCATCAAAAAATATGACTACTTGAGTGAATACTCAATTGACAATTTCTCCACATATATTTGATTTGTCTTCAAATTTTTATCAGAAGGTCTTCTCACATATTTCCTTTAGATATAAAAAAATAATCTTGTATAATTTTTTTGTATGACAAAAATCTTATCATTTTTCAAATGTGTGATTATGTAATGCAATGGGTTGTACAATGGGTTATACTCACATTTAATAATCTAATAGCTCATTCAACTTTAAATACATTAATGTATCAACAAAATAAATGCATTAATTCTTTATTGTCCCTATATTGAAGGTAAATTATGTATTTTAATACTTAAAAAAATTAATAATTTTTAAATTATTCCTTTGGAAAAAACTTCAATTTTCTCCACATTGTCTCTTATAGCTATCCATAAGTTCCTGCAATCATCTAATTGGAAAGATAAAAGGCTTAAAGTAAGAAATAAAGCAAATATCTATATTTTTATTATATTATTTACATGTATTACGGATATATACTTATTGTAATTATTATCTATATTATATGTATTGATAAAAGTAAATAAAAGTAGATTAATTTAATAATATCTTCAAAAATAGCTTCATAGAAGCTTTAGAGGCATTGTTTTGACTTTACATGTATTTGCAATCAATTGGTAGGTTAGAAACTTAATCAACAAGTAAATTATGTGCCACATGTTTTGCTAACTTGTAAAATAAGCTAACTATATGGCGTTTATATAGAAAACTTGTCTTGCAAGCTAAGATACATGTTGTACAAAGTTAATATATTTTGGAGGTCCTATAGAACATTACCACATAGCCCTTAGGTAGATAATATATATAGAGGCAAGAGTGAAGCCTTCTATCATCGACATATATATTTATTCCAATAGTCACTTATATAATTAGATAAAAGTAGATAAATATAGATTAATTTTATAAAATCTTCTAGAATAACTTCTAATAAGCTTCATAGACGTGATTTTGACTTTAAATATGTTTATAGGTTAGAAACTTGGCCAATAAGTTAACCACATATTGATAGCTTATAGAACAAGTTAATTCTATGTAATAGCTTGTAGAACAAGTTAATTCTATATAATAGCTAGTGGAACAAGTTAATTATGTGGTGCATACATAGATAACTTGCCTTATAAGTGTCAAGGACAAGAACTCGATGAAAAACAATTCAGACAAGTGAGCCTTTACTCAAAGAGAAGTAAATAAACAAATATATATATTGAAAGAGAAACTGGAATGGCTATTGCCAAAAGACAAGAAAACTAGAGACCCTTGAAACTAGACTAGAAGCAAGAAAGGAGTTGACAAGAGTGAAGAAAGCTTCACTCTTGCCTCTATATATACTATCTAACTAGAAGCCACGTGGCGATATTCTATAAGACCTCTAATATGTGTTGACTTTCTAGGCCACATGTCTTTGCTTGCAAGGCAAGTTTTCTATGAGTGGACTACATAGTTAACTTGTCCTTCAAGCTACCAACATGTGTGGCACATGGCTAACTTGTTGACCAAGTTTCTAACCTAAAAGTCAACTATAGACTCCTATAAGGTCAAAGCAGCGTCTATGAAGCTTCTAGGAAGCTTCTCTAGAAGTTATTGCACAATTAACCTACTTTTATCTACTTTTACATACTTTTATCAACTCTTGTAGTTAATTATATGTATATCCTTGACATTACCCCACCTTCTAGGGACGAGTTCCACGAGGAGCGGTGATTATATGTTGAGAAAGTCTAATATGCGGCTAATTGTATTTGCTACATACTCTGATCTCTGTTCTCTTCGAAGGTAGTTGATGGGTCCTCTTAGCCATCGATAGTGTCCCATTCCAGGGCGGGAAGACCACCCTGTTATTTGATCATTATTGAGGCCTTCATAACTTCCTTCAAATAATACATTTGAAACACCATCAGCAGTCGTTCCTATCTCCAAAAATATCACCAAACATCGAGAATCTCTTCCAAGGTCGTGATACCAAACGCGTTGTATCTCACCATCTATTCGAGAAAGAACATGTCGTTCTTGAGGGTCTTCATCTCGGTTGCGTCGTCTTGAAGGTTGTGACAATCGCAATGTCTCATCCGGTAAGTCAGCAAACGAAGGTTCTTGAGTTGAATCCGCTAGTTGTTGGCTCTCCATCTAATTAGCGTCACAAATGCAAAGAAGTTACAAACAAGGATAGGAAATTGAATGTTATCTTGCCTCAATCTTGTCTCTTTTATAAGAGAGATTTTCATCTTGATTTTGATGGATGTCGTTGATGAAAAACTTTGACTTTAGCTGATGCATTTGGTAGATTCCTGGATGGCTCCCATGTGCGTTCACTAATATCGTATCCGCGCC